GAGAATTGGATGAATGAAAAAGAATAAGGAGAATTGGTGAATGTTGGTGATTGTTGATTATAGATTGTAGATTGAAGATTGTAGATTGTAGATTGAAGATTGTAGATTGTAGATTGAAGATTGATGATTGATGAAAACGGATTTTTCTGATACGATATTTATAAAGAAAATCGGCCAAAAAAGATAATTTATCAAAACAGAGCCTGAAGATAACAGAAACACATTGGCGCTAGCCCTGGCACATTGGCGCCAGGACCAGTGGCTAGCGCCAGATGCCAATGGCTGGCGTCTGGCGCCAATCCTGGTTCCAGGCGCCAAAGCCTGGGGTTGGACGCCAAACCGGCTTTTAACACGTTTTCGTAAAACTGATAATTTTACCGTACTGGAAGATAAAATAATATAATTTCAGTCGAAAATGCTATTTGATCTAATTAAAACTCTAAAGAATCCTAATTGAATTAAGAATGATAATACCTTCTAGAATGTTCTAGAAGACCAAAACCATTCTTAATTACATTAGGAATGATAAATCATATTAGACCCTCCCCTAGATCATTGGGCCGTACTTAAAACTCAAACCGGACCCAGTTTAGTAAATTGGTCATAACTTCCTCAATACTCATCGGAATTGGGCTTATAATGTATCGTTGGAAAGGTCTTTGCAAGCCCCATCCAACTACACCACTTATTGGACCCATATCATGGACCAACCAAACTGGATCGGCTGTTTTCCTAAAATAAAGTTTTCAAAAACAGAGAGAAGAGAAAAGAAAAGAAATAAAACTTTCCGCAACACTAGACCTTTCCACACTTTCGTTTCATTCGATTATGATTCGACGTGAAAGACACTCATCACTGGGTTTGGTTTTGGGGAGACACAAATGGGTGTCTACAATTCCTTTTTTTTTCTTTTTTTTTTTTCCTTTTTTTTTTATAAAACCCATAAAGGGGAGCTAATTAGATATATCAAGAAGAGCTACATCAAGAATACGAGAGGGAATTACATCAAACCACATTCATTGACCCACTTCCCTATGATGAAACCGGGTCAATTCATGAGCAACCCTATTCCCACCTCGTTTCACAAAAGACTAATAAACAATAGCAAAGTTAGTGCAAAATAACAAAATGTCCCCTAAAATTAAAGAAAATTCACTATAGCCAATCTCTTCGCTCTTCAAAGCTTGGAAGACCTACAAACAATCACCCTCAACTAAATTTTGGGCACTCATATTCGCAGCCAGCTGCAACCCCCATCACACGGCTTTTGCTTCAGCCACCCTCACGTCCCACTTCTGACTGCCCTGCTAGACCCCTGTAGCCATAACTTCACCAAAACCATCCCTGATCACTACCCCAAACCACACCCAAAGTCACCTACAAAGGCAGCATCAACATTAACCTTTAAGAGTCCTGCATATGTTGTCCAATCGTCAGTAGCCTTCCCTGAACTAACAGCAGCAGCACAGCAAAAACCAAGCTTGGAATTTCCAGTCTTTATAGCATAGCTCAGCACTTCCCCATAGTCTCTACACTCCCCCTTCATGATCTAAGAGTTCCTAACACCATAAATAGCCCAGCAAATGGCTATTAAGTTTGCTACATCACACTCATCCATATTCAAAAAACAGGATTCCTTAATCCTTCTTCCCTTCTCACCTAATACAATCAATCAAAATAACAAAATCAGAAACAAAGAATTGAAAAAATCGATTCCAAAACACAAAAGGGGTAAATTACGAAGAAGATTCTGGATACAAGTAGCCCTAATGATGATCTACGTGCACATAGGAGTACCCTTAACTTCGCCACCATAGTAGCTATCTTCAGTGAGTTCTCTCCTGAAAACTTTATTTAGTTCAGCGTAAATGACACCATCAGCACCGAACTTCCGGTTCTTGCTCATCTGAGTAGCCATTATAGCAGAAACCAACTTGTTTTCTTAAAAGACCTAACAATATAGCACCCCTGAAATGAACCAACCATGAAATTCAGAACTGAATTTCAGAACTAATTTCAGATAACAATCTCTCAACTAATTTCAGAACACCATCTCAGAACTAAATTATAAATAATTATCAGGACTTATTTCAGAGCTGAATTTCAAAACTGATTTCAGAACTGAAATTTAGTACTGATTTCACAACTAAAAAACAGAACTGATATCTTGAAATGAATTTCAGAACTATAATTCAGATCTGATTTCTGAGCGGACAGTCAGAACTGATGTTTAGAATTGATAAGCTACAGAATTTTGAAACATATAGAACTGCATCTTAGGTTGAATTAAAATACCAATGTTCCAGCTTATTGCCTTATAATAACCTGTTGAATTCATCATATTTCACCTTCTTCGGGAACAATTTCTTCACTTCCTTCAGGTAAGCTAGGGCATTGTTGGTCATTTATCTCTATGGTGTAGGTGCACCAGCCCCACCACCTCCAACCATTTGAGGTTGCCCCATGATTCAACTGCCAAAATTTAGCTTTTAATTTATGATTTACAATAGAACTACAATAGAACTAAGATTTTGTATGGTTTTTCTATTTGCAGGTATAAATTTGTAGGATAATTAAGCAATAAAGAAACACTAGCCATAACAATTCACTTGATTAATAATTCAATTAACTTTATGAACATCATCATCTCTTAGCTTTTAATTTATGATTCGAATCAAGTACAGCAAGCACACAATAGTGCGACAACAAGTGGTTAGCAGCAATTTTAGCACAAAAACAGGAAGGGATGAAATAGCAGGGTAGCAACAGAGGGAAATATTAGGGAAGCAACAACATAACGACTGCATTCTACTATTAAATAAATTGAGAATTAGGGGGCAAAGAATGGAACAGGGTATTAAGCTAGTTCCAGACAGCAGAATGCAACTCAAGGTAAGGCGAGCCATAGAAAAGGTCTAGAGTCCATTCATTCATAGCATAGTGACATACATCTGATCAAATAAAAAAGTTTGGTACATTTCACCCTAACCGACAGGGGGATACTCATTAACCAAAACATTCAAATGTAGCATGTAGAGTAGACTCAATACCATTCCCACAGTCACACACACCGTGTCAGAGAGAAAATGCATGTAATGTAGCCTTTCTCAAACTGCTTAGAAGCCCTTACAGGCCCTCCAAAGTGTCTAAGCTAATTTCTATTATGTGTCCATTTTTCCATTTATCATCCACAAGAAGGGAAAAATAAAACCTTTTACAAAAATATTAAGTACAGATATTATATGTCTAGTATAAACAATACTAATACTACATATTGGATTATGATGATGGCTTACTTATTGTTAAAGTTTCAACTCCATGTCTCTATATGCATGCTAAAAGATTGGCTTACTTATTGCTAATAGCTACTACATTTGTCTTCTTTCCCAAATGCCAAAATAGAGCTTCTGAAAAGTGGTTCTACTCTGATTAGTTGTCCCCCTGCTGCTGTTTGTTGTTGGTGTCTGTCTTGTGGGTTGCTTGGTATGTATGCAAGATAGGTGGCCTTGGTCTTGGTTGATTCATTACACATGTCAAAAAGCGGGCTGCCAAACCTTCAGCTAGATCATAACACCAACCATTTAACCATCTAAGTTTTCAATTTTAATTTTTTTTTTTATTTTTGAGTATATTTCATGTAATATGAGTGAACTAGATAGGTGCTTTTTGGTTACATTGAACAAAATCAGATTATCAATTTCACACATATTGAACAAAATTGCAACCCTTATTATTCAACAATGATACCAAATGTGATCAGCAGAGCTGCTGGTAGGAGCTCCCGCAGGCTGGCTGCGGTCAGTGCTGTCCACCGCAAGCTGGCTGCGGACTGCACTGTTCCCAGCAGACGCAGCAGCCCCTGTGGTGTCTGTGGCAACATTGGCAGCCTCTGTGACCTCTAAAACAGCCTCTTAATCCTCCAAAAAATCCAAATCAACACCCACATTATCCCCGGAGCTTGCACTATAGTTTTGTATACCTCATCCCTGTTGACCCATTCCATTACACAGCTGTATTTTTATTAAAGCAAACAATAAATCAGTTAATAAAGCAAACAATAAATCAGTTAATAAATCAGTTATAGGTTTTGTGATGAATTAGTAAAATTTCAATTAACCAGACTCATGGGAAAGTTTGTGGATGCTATAGATTCAATATCATCACTCAGAGAGTTTCAGCAACAATCAAAACCAATCCTTCCTTATTACTTCAGTAAAGACTTGTTTTTATTCTATACATGTAAACAGAAAACGATGAAGAAATTGGAGAAACAAGGGAGAATAATAACACCGCTGAGGGGGGCTATGATGAGGAAGGACGACAGATTGGTCAACCACTTGAACTTGAAGATGCATCTTTGGATACTGAACCATTGAACGACAAGGAACTCATGACTGTACCAGAGAATGAGGACCTTAACATTTCATCAAGTTTGACTTTATTATCCCTTAAAACATATATATATGACAATATGCTTCAAGTCATGTCAATTCACTACCCAGTGAGCTTATGCTTGATACAGGTGCTGCTAAAAAAAAAGAGGAACGGTATATTGTAGAAATCTTACCCTGTTACCTCCTGGTGAAAAACTGAATGTGGAGTTTGACAATGATGGTGTGGCTATTGGTGATAATGCTTCATTATTTTCTTTCTTCTTGGGTCAACAAGTTCAAAATAAAGCTATATGTTCGTTACAAGTTAAATGTTGGGACGATTATAAATCTGAAACATTAGACCATTTGTGGGCTTGCATCACGGTAATATGTTATCATAATAAACATGTTTATGGGGTTTTTCTTTCTCTTATTAACAATGAAACATTGTCAACTTGATGTATGAGCAGTAATTAATTTATCTTTGTCTTTTGAAGGAGAAATGGTCATTTGATGACCCTGAAAATAGGCGGGAGTATGTTATGAAACATGCACAACATTTATTCAGAGGTGCTACGAGCAAATTAAAATCAAATTAATTTAATGATAAAAACTTGAAAACAAAAGATGAACGTCTCAAAAATAAGCCTAGTCATCTAACTAAAGTGGAATGGAAGTTCTTGGTTGACTATTGGAGTGAAGAGGCGGTTATGGTAAAATACACAGATAGTATATCTTTATTCTTATATAATTAACGTATATTATTGATTAAATCCTTTTTATTGTAGGAGAAGAGCAAAAAAGCAAGTGAAAGTAGGGCACATCAGAAGATGCCTCACTATAATGGCACTAAAAGCTTCGGTCGCACTAGACAAGAAATAGTATGTAACAACTACTCTTTCTAATTTTAACTTTTGATTCTTGCCATATATAGGACTACAATACTCTATGATGTCACATCAAGGCTTAATTACTACCTTTACTACACTCTATCATTTTCTAAAGAGCTCAAAAGACTACACTAAATAAACTAATGAGACAAGCATTTGTTAAAGCTGTAAGTGGTTAGTGTTGCAGGCTGTTGTGGGTGGAGAGTGCTCCCCTGCTGCTGCTGCATTTTCTATGACTTGCACACAAGCCCTGCCTGCTCACTAGCCCCCTCCCTTCCTGCATACCAGCCCCCTCCCTGCCTGCACACCTGCCCCGACCCCTTCCTGCCAGATGCCACCTGCCTGCACATACCTGCATCCCCTCCCTACTTGCACACCAGCCTCCCTTCCCTGGATTTCCTACACACCAACCTAGTCCTTTCATACATAACAACCCCCACTCCCTCCTACTACTTACCTGCCTGCTTGCACACTAGCCCCCCTCGCCCTAGCATTCCTGCACACCACGTCACCACCCACGCCCCCCTTCCCTGGCATTCCTGCACACCACGTCACCACCCACGCCCCCTTCCCTAGCATTCCTGCACACCACCCACGCCCCTTTCCTGCACACACCTAATTATAATTTTCTGTTTTTTTTTTATTTATTTTTTTATTTTTTTTATAAGCTGAATTCTGAACACATGGAAAATTAAATTCTATTGGACATAACTAAATGTCATTAAAATTTTATGAAGTAATTCTCGCACTTATTCAAAATATGCAAACGTACAATAATTAGGAGTGTAATTTAATTCTAAAAACTCTGTAATGTTTGCAGAGGAATAAGAATGGCGGGAAGTGTTCTCGAGTTGATGTATTGGTTGCAACTCGTACAAGAAAATCTGAGAAGGTTGTGAATGCAATCAATTTGGAAAATAACACTCATGCAGTAGTAAGTTTATAAGTTTTATGTTTGTTATTTTCCATTTAACATTTACCATCTTATCTTCTAACTTAATATTGTTTATTCATAGGATGAGATAAACAAATTAAAGGAACTAAGAGAGCAAGGTCTTAATGAGAAAATAGATGAGCAAATTATTCAGGATGTGCTTGACAAAGATACACATGGGTATTTGAAAGCATATGGACCTGGTAGAAGTATTACGCAACATTTTAAAGTAAAGCCCTCTCGAATTGATCTTACTCAAGAGGTGAATGAAGTTAAAAAGAAAGCAGATCAAGCAATTGAAGATGCAAGAAAAGAAGCTGAAAATGCTATAACAGAAGGAGAACAGGCTAAATTAGAAACTGAACAAGCCAAAAAAGAGGTGGAAGCTGTTAAGAATGACGTGGACAGAAAAATTGCTGATAATAATGAAGTTTGGGAGAAGAAGTTTAGTCAAATTCTGGATTTTCTTGGAGCAGGAAGTTCATCAGATTCTGATGTTTCAGGATGTCAAGGTTCAAAGGAATGAAGTAAGTAATGCTATCTTCACCAGTTATGCATTATACATTTTATCTTATATTCAATACAATTGTTACATTTTTTAAAGCTAAAGAATCTTGACCTCTTACGATTGACTTATAGCCTTCCTAAAACTCACATTCATTACGATTGGCTTATATTCATTAAGATTGACTTATATTAACTTGATCATTTATCTATTTATTTATTGTAGGTAACAAGGAGCGGAGCACAGACATATTGTCACATGGTATATATAGAGTATATATTGTTCTTTAGCAACATGATTTGAGTGTTCTTTTTTTTTTTTTTTTTTTTTTTTTTTTTTTTTTTTTTTGGGTAAGAGTGAGCTAGTGATGAGACAATTGATTTATAGTATGTTTGTATGTATGGATATCAAACTCAAGTGTGTTTGAATGTACGGGATTCCAAGACATTAATATGATTTTTTTCAATGTTATGTATCTATTTCAGCAATGACAAATATGATATATTTGAGGAAAAATCCTTCTGTAATATTCAGTTATGCTTATATCATAGATAATGCTGCAACAAATTAAAGCTTATGCCTATTGAAATTAGTAGCCACGATAATCATTAGTGTCAAGAGATATTATTTGTCACGGTAGCAATGTGGCAATGGATTTATTTGCCACGGTATTATTTGTGGCAAACAAATAAATTAGCTACGGTATATTGCGGCGACAAAGTTTATTAGCCACGGTAATATTTGTGGCAAAGAAGATTACTGGTCACGGTAATGTTTGTGACAACAAAGTTTATTAGCCACGGTAGAATTTGTGGCGAAGAACTTGTTAGCCACATTAATATTCGCGGCAAATGAATTTGTTTGCCACGTACATACCCGTGGCATAAAAATCGAAATTTGTCATGACATCAATTTTCCCGTGGCAAATTTCCTAGCCATGGCCTCTTGTGTCACGGGAGTAAATTTCAAAATTCCCGTGGCTACACTACATTGCCACGAGAATTTTAAACTTGGGCCACGATTTTACTCGTGGCACAAAGGTCAATTTGTTGTAGTGCGAGCAATGAACAGTAGTAGCAAGAGCAAAATAAGGAAGACCCGACTCCAGCGCCAGATGACAAGGCTGTCGCCTGGCGACATAAGCAAAGTGAGGCGACACATTTTCCAAGTAGGCGCTGGTGCGGCGACGCAATGCGTGGCCTCCATATAAGATTATGCAGACTTACTGCAGAAATTTTCGGGTTTCTTGGTACGCTTGTTAGCCCCTCTAAGCAATTTGGCATGATTTAGTAATTGGCTCGATTACAATCACATAAAGTGATCGACATGATAAAAGATCGTCTCACTTAGCTTAAAGCGCCTAAACATTGGCTCATAGAAAAGCACCGACGTAATAGTTCACATACAACAAAAATGCGCCGATGTATTGGCACCGTGGAAATTACAGCAAAAAAATTGCAACAACAAAGTTCAAGCGAGCTTTAAAGATCGACAAGCGTTGGTCTTCGGTAATTTTCTTTGGAACATTATCGTAACAACTGAGGATGAATTCAAGCAAATTTATCTTCGACAGCGTTCCCTAGTATATGGAAGGTTGTCAGAAAGCTGAGAATGGTTTCAAGAGAAGTTGTCTTCGACAACATTCGCTAAGATTGTTGAGGTTGTCACCAAGATTTGAGAAGATAGCACGAGATGGGCGGTCTTCGACGACATTCGCTAAGATTGTGGAGGTTGTCACCAAGATTTAAGAAGATAGCACGAGATGGGCAGTCTTCGACAACATTCGCTAAGATTGTGGAGGTTGTCACCAAGATTTGAGAAGATAGCACGAGATGGACGATCTTTGACGACATTCGCTAGGATTGTGGAGGTTGTCACCAAGATTTGAGAAGAGCGGTTTGTGATGAGGTGGTCTTCGACGACTTTCGCTATGATTTGGGAAGGTTGTGAAAACAAAAAATGCAGCAAAAAAACGGTTACTCCTGAGAGGTGTGCTCTACGGTGCAAGATACACATTTCTTAACTCTTTTATCTGTCTAAACTGACGATAGTTTGCAGGTGTCGGCGTTACAAGAATGATTTGGGATCGCAGAACGTTCTGGATCATTCTCCGTCCTATTGCTACTTTGACTTTTGTTTTCGAAACTTGCGTTTCTCCACATAGCATCATCTGCAAAAAAATAGGTGAGAAATCGCTGGAGATCGTCTGGTAACTTTCAGACCTCTAATCTGCTTGACATTTTCCACCATAGAAAACATACGTGACAAAATATCCATGCAGAACAGAAATAAATAGGGAGACAAAGGGTCCCCCTGACGTAAACCACAGTCAACCTGAAAAGCCTCCGACACCTTACCATTAATGAGAGTCTTGTAAGTTACAGTTGAGATGCATTGAGACACCCACTTTACCTACACCTTTGGAAAACCATACCTCCTCAGAACCCTAAGAAGGAAAGCCTAATTGACATGATCATAGGCCTTGGACATATCCAACTTAATCATCGCTTTAGTAGAGATCCCACTACTAGTGTTAATCATATGCAAAAGTTCATGACTCAAATTCACATTATCCTCAACATATTGATGTGTCTATTTTATATAGTATTTTACCCCCGTCCCTTGGTCGTAATTAGTAGTGTTTTTGGCTCTTTAGAGACATTTTTATTACTAATTGGTGTTTTCTAGTGTTTTCGTAGATTTAGTTGACTTTTGCAGGGATTTATGCTTTTGGAGTATTTTCCCGAATTATTTTGGAGCAATCACGAGCATTGGAGAAATACGACCATCTTTGAAGCCCAAGGCCGGTTAGAGTCATCGAGCCGGTGATTAAGGGCTCGGTAATTGGGATCCCGAGGTATTTGGACCAAGTATTCAAGACCCGAAGAGGAAATCCGGGTTGGGCCGAGAAATCAAGCCCAATCGAAGTCCGAGCAAGGGCCCGATCAGGCAAGAGGTTGCACGATCAGGCGCGGCGCTGGTGCTGTGTGTGGCTTATAGCGCGCCCGATCGTACGAGCGTCTAGCACGATCGGGCGGTGCTGCGGAGAAGGAACGCGAAGAAAAAGGCGGGCTCGATCGGGCGGCCCTTCGCCCGATCGGGCGCGTGTTTTATATAGCCTGATTAGTTTAGTTTTAATTTTGTTTTAGGAAACGTTTATATACAAGTTTTTGTATGGAATTTTTATTATCTTCTTTCTTAGACTTTCTCTCTCTACTTAGGATTTTTCTCTCTCTTAACTTTTCTCTCAACTCTTGTTCTTAATTATTTTCCATTAATACAGATTAGTTTGGTAACGATTTCTCTTCTCTTAATCTTAGTTATTTATTTTATTCCTTCCATCATGACTTGTTCTATTGCTTTGATTAGTTTAGTTATTACTTTGTGTGAGTAGTTTTCTTTCTTGGGTTATGAGGATCCATAAATAATATGAAGGGGTAATTTATTGTTGTTGATTGTCAATGCTAGATTAATTTCCTATTGATTGATTTAATGCTCTTTGACTAGATTTGCGCAGATCTTTTATGCATGAGTTTGACAACATTGACTCGAGATTCGAGAGATGAGAGTTGATGTTTAGGTCTAGTTTCAATAGGCAGTTTAATTTATAAATGGTTAAGTCGAGATTCGAGAGATGAGATTTAATACCGGTAAATTAATTGTGTGATTGTAATACGTAGCGAAAGCCCTTTACAATCTGGTTAATTGATGCATTGATGATTGACTATTATTGATTATTGGTATTGCATGATAATTTCTTATTGAATTGTTTTAACTCTTTACAATTGCGGCTTGTAAAAGTATAGCAATATTGAATTGATGAATCGAACAGATGTTAATTTGATATTAAAGGCTATTTTCAATGAGAACTTAGATCTAGTAAATTGCGAGAGCCTGTTAGATCTATGTTGATTAATAAATTGCGAGAGCCTGTTAATCGTGTTATTTATGCAATGTCATTGATTGATTACTATGTTTTACCCTGGAATATTATTTAATTGTGAACCTATGCCCTAGATCCTTTTTTATATTGTTTTCTCCCTTTTCTAAATCTTTGTAGTTTAGTTTCATATTCAACTTATATATTGGTTACCTCATAATCAAGATTATATTAGTTAATTAGGAATAGAAAGACTTGTTTCCCTGTGGAGTTCGACCCTACTTTCCTATCTACTTTAGTTAGAGGACTTAGGTAATTACTTTTGATTAGGGGATACGACTTTACCCTGTCACATATCTTGCCGGCACAAAAGCATGCTGGTAATCTGAGATAAGATCTGGCAATAGTGATTTCATTCTATTCACCAGACACATAGCTATGCATTTATAAATAGTTTTGCATAAGTTAATAGGCCTAAATTATGTAGCTAATTCAGGGCAGTCTACTTTCAAAATCATAATAAGCAAAGAAGCATTGAATTCTTTTAAAAGATAACGTGTAGAGAAGAAAGATTGTAACGAGTCAACCACCGAGCTGCCCACCGTCTCCCAATGTTAATGAAAAAGCTCCGCTATGAACCCATCTAGGCCTGGAGCTTTGAGGTTATGACTAGAAAACATCGCTTTCCTTATTTCTTGGTGAGAGAAAGGCCGGATTAAAGAAGCTGCATCCGAAACCGCAATAAGAGGCAAGTCTAGCTCTCGCAGAACCAGATCAATCCTCTCATGCACATGCTCCAAATTCTCAAGAGGGGGATTATACACCTCTCTTAAAGTATATCTGAACAAGGCTTCCAGATTTTTTCACCCTGTTATCCACATATCCCCTTCCGTCCTAAGAGTAACAATCTCTCTTCTTTTCTGCCTCTACTTTACTCTATTAAATATCATTGTAGACGGTATATCTCCTTTCTTAATCCACCTATCTTTCATCCGCTGCTGCCAATACTTAAAATCTAAGCTATTGACATAAATAAGATCATTAATAGCTTTCACATAGCTATTACCTTGATCCAAAGTAGTAACGCATCCTCTCTGTTCTTGCAAAGCAGAAGAGTATTTATTCCAGTTAATACCCCACACTTTCTTGTTGTCCAAACACCACTTCTTTATTTTACCTCTAAGCCACTTTAGACGCTGATTAAATTTAAACATTGTAGAGCCCACTCCATCAACCTCCCAAGCCTCCGCAATAAGAGTCTTAATTTCTGGAAAACAAGGCACCAAGCTTCTACTTGGTACGGTCTATTTGATTTCTGAAGCTGAGAGTCTGAATCATAAATTATTGCTGTGTGATCTGAAACTGTAATCGGTCCATGAATGACCCTCCCCTCGGGAAAGTCATTAAACCATGGTAGAGGAATAATCGGTCGTTGGACAATCACCCTAAAACCAAACAATATTTCTACCTAAACCAACCTAAGACAAGTCTAGGGTAAGTAGAGGATCGTATCCACAGGGAATGGGTAAAGACACCAAGAGTATGAAACGGTTGCAATCTAGTTCGGTCACAAATTAGGGGTTTTGATTAGACAACTATTGTGGAGACAAACACTAGGGGGAGATGGGAATCGACACCAACCAAACCAACGGATCAAATCACTAGGCAAACATGAACACAAATTGGGTGATAGAGAG